CTGTGGCGTCACATTTCACAGCAACCCCAAACTCTTGGGGCTTAAGTGATTCTCTTGCCTCAGCCTCCCAAGTAGCTGGGACTACAGGCACCCACCAGAATGCCTGGCTATTTTTTTGTTGTAGTTATCATTGTTGTTTGGCAGGCCTGGGCTGGATTTGAACCCCCCGGCTCTGGTATATGTGGCTGGCACCCTAGAGGCTGAGTTACAGGTGCTGAGCCTGATTTTTATTTTCTAATTATAACACTCTGAATGCACCCAACAAGAAATATCCTAAAGAGACTGGTCTAAGATGGCAGACTAGAGACATTTCCATACTAACTGCTCTTGGGGAAATTGTGGAGAGAGGACTCCAGTCAACTCTGGCTGGATTGTCCCACCCAGAAACATCATTCTAGGCACTCAGTGAGACAGCTGGGGACTCCAGGAGCTGAGGAGAAGGTCAGGAGCAGTGGAAGGCCAGCACAAAAGGTAGGTGCCTGGGCCACTCCAACAACCAAGTACAGAGACAAGGAAATTTAAGGAGAAGGAGGAAGCAATAGAAATATCCTAAAGCCAGATATAAAAATACGATTGGCCACAGGGCTAAATAGAATTAATCAGCTAAGGACTGCTCATGCTGCCATTGACAGGCCTGGAGAACTTGCCATGGTGGGCTGGAGTAAGGGTAGGCTCTGGGGTCTGAAAATGGACCCTGAATCTCAGCTCTGCCCCTTATAGATGGGTAAGCTCAGACAGGCTCTTGGGGGGAGGTTGGCCTCAGCTTCCTCCTAGATAAAACAAGGATACAAGCACTCACAGTAAGACTGCTGTGAGCAGTCATGTTAATCCTAATGATGCCAAGCACTTTCCAGACACGATTTCATTTAACCCTCCCAACAACCCTGTGCAGGGGAGGGACCTGAGGCTCAGAGCATGAAAATGACCTGTCTAGGACCACTGTAGGCAAGTGGCAAATCTGATGAGCAGGAAGTTCCAGAGCTTACCAACTGTGCTATGCTGAGTCTTGAAAATTAAGCAAATGCATACACACATATATACATGTGCACACATATATACACTTAGATACATGTACACATGCATAACGCCCACATATACATATATACCCACCTATACAAACATACTCACATATACATGTACACACATACATATAGATATATCCATACCCAAATGCATACATACACATACATAATGCCCAATACCTATGTATACCCACCTATACACACAGATACTCATGTATACATGTACACACTATACATACAGATACGTATATACCCACATGCACACACATATACACATAAATGCCTAATACATATGTGTACCCCACCTATACACAAATACGTCTACATGTACACATACGTATACAGATACGTACATACACATGAACATAAGATGTGCAAACATCTTTGCACATCATAGGGAAATGCAAATCAAAACCACAATCATCACTTCATATCCACTAGGATGGTTATAATAATTTTAAAAACCCAGAAAATTGTTATTGAGGATGTAGAGAGATTGGACCCCTCATATATTGCTGGTAGGAATATAAAACGGTACAGCCAATGTGGCAAACAGTTCGGCTGTTTCTCAAAAAATTAAAGAGATTTTACCATATGACCCAGCAATTCCAATCCTAGGTGTATACCTAAGAGAAATGAAAACATACATCCACACTAAAACTTGAGCATGAATGCTCAGAGTAGCAATATTCACAATAGCTAAAAGGTAGAAACGACACAAATGTTCATCACAGGTGAATGGATAAACAAATATGGTATATCCATACAGTAGATAAAATAGCTACAAAAGTAACGCAGGTCTGATGCATACTACAATGTGCACAAACCTTGAAAATATCACACTAAGTGAAATAAGCTAGACAGAGGAGGCCACATACTATGATTTCATTTACATGCAGTGTCTAGAAGAGGTAAATCCACAAAGACAGAATGTAGATGAGGGTTCGTCAGGGACTGGGAGGGGAGGGAATGGGGAGCAATTCTGTATTCCCTTTGGGGGGATAAAAATGTTCTGGAGTTGATAGTGGTGACGACTGCACAACATTGTGAATATGCTAAAAGCCACTCAATCGTACACTTTAAAGTAATTAAAATGGTTATTAATTGTTAAAATAATTAATAACGGGATCAAAACACACAAGTTGTCATGGAATTCCCATGAGCCACTGACCTTGTTTGTCTGGGTTGCGGACCTGGGATGGGATGTCTTGGATTTCTAATGTCCATTCCCCTTCAGCCTTTTCTCCCCAACAGTGGACAGTCATGAATTCCCAGTTTGTAAACCCTTCATTGGAAAGATCCAGCAATCTGCAATTGAAGAGTCAGTGTTAGAAAATGAAGGTCCTAATACAGGTCCCAGAAGATACAGCTGGTATGGTTTGGTGGAGAGTCCAGCCCAAGGTAGGTTCTCTCCTGCACTGGAGTAATTAGACTTTGAAAGATGGCACAATCTTTCTAGAGTGCACCGCTAGGGCAGCAAAATTGGGAAGAGGGGAGGGGGGCCTGGCCATCAGCTGGCACGAGGGTGTCAGGTAAAACGTTGACTGTTTGCAAACTCTTAGAGCAGAGTGTCTCCTCCAGCACCTCACTGAATTTCCCTAACAGGGCAGGCAGGCAGGCAGGCCTCATCCAGCCCCATAAGAGATGGCCATTCATTCAGCAGTGGGCTCCCCCCTCACATACTAATTTATAGAAGAGAGAGATTCCAGGTGTACCAGTTTGCTGCAGGTCAAACTGTTGGCAACCAGCTGAGGGACTTGCTGGGGCAATTAGGACTTGATGGGGCATTCTGATTCCCTATTCTATGTTCTTTCTACCAGTAGTAGGTGTTTACAAGGTCACCGAGGACACCCTTGATTCTGCCACTTTCCTGCAGAAGGTGTCTCTTTCCCAGCTTAGGAACTGTCTTACAGGGTCCATGCCCCCAAGGTGCGGATGCACAAATGCAGACAGAGGCTGGGCCATAGGACAGCCTTCCACTAAAGCCCAAAGGGTATTCACAAAGGAAGCCTCTGTAAAATGCTTCTTTGTGGAATGAATGAAATTTCCATGTTTCTCTTAGAGCCAGCTCTGTGTGCTATTCTCCAGAAGATATAAAGAAAAAGGAACTACTACTCAAACTTGTGGGAATAATTCTGTCCCTTCATCTCCAGGGCTTGAACAGTTTTAACAGTTGCATTTGGGGAAGGTCATGATAGAAGGCCTGGTTGTCTTCCAGTGTGGGTGGGAGGCACCCTGGCCGGGGTTGGGGTTGGAAGAGAGGCCACCCTACCTAGTGGGCATCCCCGTCTCCCCCATCCCCCTGCAGGTTTTGACGGGCCTCTCTCTGCTCTTCCAGACTGTGCTCACCAGGCTCTGGGCCTTAAACCCTGTGTCTGGTTCAAACAAAACCAGAAAGCAACAAACAACTAACACAACTAACATCCAGTGCCCTCCTTGGAAGGAATTCTTTCTCCTAAGAAATAGTTCCAGGTTCTTTTCTCTTACTCTTTCTTTATAGTATAATATTTTACCTCTATTTTAGAATAAAAATAAAAGTTTTTTTTTTTTTTTAACATGGAGCTCTTTATTGTTCATCAGAAATTCAGGCCAGTAATCCCAGCACTCTGGGAAGGTGAGGCAGGAGAATCGCTTGTGCACTCGTGTTTAAGGTTTCAGTGAGTGATGACGACTGGGTGCATTCCACCCTGGGTGACAGAATAAGACCTTATCTCATAAAACAAACAAACAAACAAAGAAAGAAATTCAAATATGTAAGTTTTGTGTAATACAAGATTTAATTTCCAAGTTGGGGATTCTCTGAACACTCGGCATGCAAACATTTATCGAGACAATATTCTTTGCATGGTGCATAGTGAGGCTGGGGGAAGAAACAACTTGTACCTTCTTCTAGGAATCCACAAAGGTCAAGGCTGATTTTAATACACAGTGCCAGGCTGAACCTGACCCAGTGGGGACAGAACAAAGGACAAACTGTCTTTTAAGTGCTGAGATTTAAGAATGTGAACTTATTCTTTGTGAAAAAGTCAGCAACCCCCCAAAGCTGCCAAATCAAGTAAGATGTGAGGTAAGGTAGAAGGTAATTGATCCTAAAACACAAATTCTTGATAGAACCAGAAAATCTGTCTTAGAAAAAAACAAATTCTCAAGACTCAGGTGACTGCCATGTGGCCTCAAGGCAGGTTTTTAAAGTGCTGGATGGCTCAGATATACTACCTAGCAACCCCTAGGGCTCCCAATAAAACCTGTAGGACCTGCTCTCCACTGTTCCAGGGGCTCAAAGGCTGGGTAGGGGCAGAGCGGGATGACAAAAGTTAGAAGGGGAGGGAAACAGAACCAGCCATGCACAAATTGGGAGGAGGGCTGAGGGAGGGGGAGGCTGGGACACTGGAAGGTTTGTGCAGGTCCAGCGGCCAGACATAAGCAGAACACGAAGGGCAGCCAGATCTCTGCAACAAGGATGATGCCAAGCTTTTTTATCTATACTATCACATTCAATGCTTGTAACATTCCTAATGTTTACAAATCAGTGAAGTTACATTTTCAGAGGGGGATAAAGAGAGGCCAAGTGACCAGCTCTTGAGAGCTCAGCTAAGAAATGAAGGAATGGGGTTCACATCCATCAGGGTAACTGCTGTATGCTGCCAGTCACCTCAGCCTTTAAGCCTCTTTGTCAGCCCAGGCCACCATCTGTGCCTGCACCCAGCTCTGCATGGTCAGAGGTCATAGACTCTGAGACTGCTAGCGGTACAGCCTGGAAGAAATAGAGGCTCCAGCAGGTGCTTCCTAAAAGTGTGTCACCAGTCTGGGGACTGCTGCTGGGATGGGTAATGGGGTGACCTGACACAGACTTGCCCATCTGCTCAGCTCTAGTCCTGCATGCACAGGGAACCTGGGCCCAGTGTTGAAGAGCTTCCAACTTCTCAAGAAACACTAGAAATGAGGACTTTGAGATGAAATCTCTAACATTAAAAAACAAAACAAAACAAAACAAACAAAAAAACTAGCATCAAGCTAGAACTTGCCCTCTGACACCAGGAACTGCTCATGGCCACACTGGCATCCATAGGCAGAGGCAGAGTGTGGCCAGGCCTCCCTGCAGGAGGGAGAGATGCCCCATGCTGCCCTTGTGCTATGAAAGTCAAAGCAGGTAGGGGCTGAGCTTGGCAGCCAGGATCTGGTCTCAGGATTAATGCTGGTGTTCTGAGGACAAAGCTGACGCTGGGCCCACTGCCTGCTGCCACTGCCCCATCTTACATGCTGCAGAGAAACTGCAGGGCGGAGGTGGGTGGGTGGGTGGCATAACCCAGCCTCCCACTTCTTTTGACAATGGCCATCTGCTTTTCTTTGTTTCTGGGCCAATCCTTATGTCTCATGCAAAGTTGTGGGTGGGGTGCAGGAGGATTAAGAAAAGGGCATGACCACCAATACCCCCCCCCCCAACTGCTCCACTGCCCAGCTCCTGCTTGGCTCTGTCTGAAGGTGTCCAAGATACCACTGTTTGAATTCTAGGCTACCAATAACCCAGATAAGGGCTATAGCCCCAGGCAGGTCACCCAGCAAGTCAAGCATGTCCAGAGCAGGCAAGTGGGGAGTGGGGGTCACAGCCCAGTGGATAGGGTAGGATGGTCTCAGAGTATTTCCTGAAGGGTCTAGGGGACACAGTTGTCATCTGGTATTCAAGAGAAGCTGGGAATGCTGATTTTCCTTTGAAACATTCTTTTCTCTCCCTTTGCCTCTTTGCTAGAGAGACAAAAAGGTATCCTAATCATTTGCAGTGCCTCCAAGTTCTATAAGTTCCTTCATTCTAATTCCCTGGAAGTCACATAAATGCATCAGTGAACTTCCCCTGTCTAAGTTTCTTGAGGAAATGACTCCATAGCCTTCCTCAAACCAACCACACGCAAAGCTTCAGTATTTCGAGTCCGTGTCCGAGCATGAGCCATCAAAGAAGGTGAGAGAGAACAGTATAGGAGTGCCTTCACCGCACCCAACATGCCAGTGTCTTCTGGGGACAGGCTGACCTGAAAGGCAGCCCAGGACTGGCTGGGATGGTTGTTGGGGGGAGGGCAAACAATGCCCCTTGTGGGAGACTCTCTTTCAAGGGTCAACTGAACAGGATAAAAAGAATCTTCAATGCACTTGTAAGAGTAATTAAGGCATAACCAGAATGCCACAAATCTCTCTGCTGAACAACAAAACAAAATGGAACAACTCCTTTGCTACTTCTTCTGAAGATGAAGGTTTTCCAGGATCTTTATGAAGGCAAGATTTCAGACAGCAAGTTTTCAGGTTTGTGAGGTCTACATTTAAGGGTCACCAAGAGGAAGGGAACTTTCAGCAGTCAATGGGACATCCCTACATGTCAGCCTTCTGGGAATGGTGTGGGTCAGGCCTAGATAGGGGCCCTTGTGCAGCCTAAATCCCAGGAGGCCCCTGTCCCATCCTCCTAGGCCTGCCGGGCCTTACCTCTTTGCCAAAAGTTGAGACTTGGTTCCTGAAGGAGAAATCAGGTAGATCTGGAGGTCTCCTCGGCGCGGATGTGAGATGGAGATACGGACCACCACATGTTCCAGGTAGACCACCCGCTGATCTGAGTGGTCGGCACAAGCGCTGGTGAGGGTTATCGTCCGCAGTGTCTGCACTATGGGGATGCTCCTGGGGGAAGAGAGGGGAGCTCAGTGCTCAGCACCTGAATCACCAAGTCTCACACAGGTGCACAGAGTGCCAAGTGTGGTGTCTGGGTTACGGTGATCCCCAGGGAGCAGCAGCAGCAGCAGCCTCCTTATGTCTCACTCATGGGCGCTGCATTGAGCTGTATCACCTGCCCAGAAGATGTCTGTGGTTCTCGAATTTGTTTACAGAGATTTAAAGAATGGATTCTTGTGCAGACTTGGGCCAGCATCCCTAGGGATTCAGGGACTGGACCTCTTTAGTGGCCAGGAGGTGGCTTCTCTTCAGTTGCATGTGGCCAACTCATTTCCTCAATCACCTGGGGTCTGCAAAGCTTTGAAATCCCACTATTTTGTTCAGAGACTGGCCTTGAAAATAGAAGTTGCAATGCTGAATAACAATAGTGAATACTTCTTGAGCTGACTGGGCCCTGAGCACCAGGCACCAGTTTGAGAATTTATAAGCATTAATCCACTTAATCAAGAGAGAAATTAAGGACAGTGCCCAAGGCGTGGCTGATGAGAAGTGGAGCTGAGACTTAAGGCCCCAGAGTCCACTGCCTGAACACTGTGCCCTGAGGCCTTGCAAGGATGCTTGTATAGACCCATACTCAGGAAGAGTCTTGTGTGGTCGAGGTTACCACAAATGGACTAAAACCACTGGAGCTGGTGATGTTCCCCAACTGCCCCGCATAAAGTCTCTCCCTCTTCTCCTCTGTGATGGAAATAGATGATGGTTCTCTTTACAAGTACAGGGCAGTTTCACCATACAGAATGGAATCTGAGGACATGCACAAAGCCTAATTATTCAAGAATCATTTCTAAGAATTACTGGTGAGTATATTTTAGCAATATAGGGTAACAACAAATGCATGTCTGTAATATGCTTTCCTCTCACCAACACACCAAAAATGTAAAGCAGAAAATAAAACAGTACACCTTTAACCAGAAGGACAGACAGCTAACCAACATAATTTGGGATAAGGGGAAAGAAGGTTACAGATACTACCTAGATATTGGTGAATTTTTTAAAAAACAGATTGCTCTGAAGGTAGTGAGTTATTTCTACTTTTGTTCAGTCAGAACTCTTTGCTAGTGTTCTTTCCCTTCTTCTCACTACTGCACCTGAGTAGTTTTAAAAAAATGATAAATAATCGTAAACATCCTAGCTTATATAGGAATAAACTTTCTATACCACCAGGAGGATGGGAATCTGTCAAAGTAACAAGTCAACACAGGTAAAAGCAATAGATTAGCAGGGGACGAGGTGGTGAGATAAATCAAAATAGAAAAAATGGAAAAGTGGAACTCATCAAAAGAAGGATATTTCCTAAATTTTATTGTTTATCATGATACGAATCTTGAAGTTCTATATTAAATTTTTTTCCTTAAAAAAAACGATCCGTTTCTATCAGAATTTTCTGACCCACTCCCCAGACAAAGCAGAGGCAAAGCCTGTATCCAAGTGTTGCTCCTACATCTGGGTTGGACCATTCAACCTATTCTGGGCCACCAAGACTCATGTCTCTATGAACCACCATCTCCTTACTCCACTGATTTGCAAACTGAAAAAAGTTGGCATTCTTTGGTATAAACCTAGTTGCCGCCTGGTAGTACATTAATAAGAATTCCCCACCATGCAGCAGCACTCGTTTATTACGGGGAGCAGTTTTCCCATTATGCCCCAACTTTCCTCTCGGGTGGCTCAAGGCTTATGCTCTGAGCCTCTCGGGAATTGTATCTCTTGGCTCTACTGGGCCCAAGTCATAAAAAATAATCAAAACAGTTATAAACAGTGATGTAATTCCCTCAGAGACTCTGTAAATATTTGCTAACATGCTTTGCATGCACCATAAATTGATTTAGAGATGCTGACTTCTTTCATTGCCTTCTCCTAAGTTTTACTGCTGATGTTTACTGGTTGGCAGGTCCCCACCTGGCAGATACAGGACAGGATAGGACAGGAAGGTCTGGAGAGTGCCAGGCCCTGCAGGGACCACAGATGTCTCCAGGTAATATGTTCACCCACTCCTCCACCGCCCCCCCTCCAACTAAGAATGCAAAGTGGGCGTGTTGAGGGCATCCAAGTGTCACAGTAGGAACTAAATGCTCTCCTGGAGCTTTGCAGTCAAGACCCCAATACCCAGAATAACCAGAATAACTGAGTACTCTTTAAGTTCTAACACTTTCCCAGGGCTACTAAGATCAAGGCAAAACAGAAACAAAGCCATAACAAAGTTTAAAACACTATCCCCACTCTCTAACAACGTGCTAATTAGCAGAGAAGCAATCAGTTTGCTTGGGAAATAGACTGGGAATCTTACTAAGGAAACTTTAATCCTGATAAGTCTCAGAATTTGAGAGAACAGGAACAGGATGAAATAAAAAGACAACCGAATCCCTCCACTTGCCCCACCACCCTGCATCCCTCTCATCTCCTCTACACCTAAAGAAAAAACTGTTTCAATGAGGGTATTACAGAATCTTGCATTTGACTTTCTTGTTCCAGCTCCGAGACCTGAGTGGCTGAGTAAGAAAGGTTAGGCTGGGTCTAAGGCATAAGGAGCCACTCTACTGCTGCCTGCAGGATGGCTGGCATGGCCACACAGAGCTCCTTCAGAGATTAATGGCCTCTCTGGGTTTAGTGTCCAAAGCAAGACACTGCCTTCATCCAGAGGCTAGGAGCCTGAGATACCTCCAGGGAACTAGGCTGACTGTAACAATTAGTTTTTATGTGAAATTTCTTAACTGGGAAATTGCTTAGTTACAGCTCACCAGGACTCCTCACTTCTGTAAGTGCCATGGCAGTGTGTGGGGAGCAGGAGGGGAGACCAAGACAGCTGTTGCAGGTAGGGACCATGAGTTGTTACCTTCCTTATAAGCAGTTAACTCTCTACATATTTTATTTCTGCTTTAGAAATTAAAACAAATAACCTAATATCTCAACTTAAGGGACTTTATGATTTTTTTAAGAAAAGAACTAAAAGGAGGTTTCACAATGTTTCATGATAGTTGAGTAGGGATAAAAAAAGAAGGCTCGGCGCCTATAGCTCAACCGGCTAAGGCGCCAGCCACGTACACCTAAGGTGGCGGGTTCGAATCCCCAGCCCGGACCCGCCAAACAACAATGACGGCTGCAACCAAAAAATAGCCGGGCGTTGTGGCGGGCACCTGTGGTCCCAGCTACTTGGGAGGCTGAGGCAGGAGACTCGCTTGAGCCCAGGAGTAGGAGGTTGCTGTGAGCTATGCCACGGCACTCTACCCAGGGGGACAGCTTGAGGCTCTGTCTCAAAAAAAAAGAAAAGGAAGTTGTTTTCTATCCTATAGTTACTTCAAAGATAACACAGAAAATGCAAGTTGTCTCCAAAGTAATTTATTTTTTAGTTTAAACAACACACAGAGATTATCAATGTCACAAGAATACAGCTAAGCTATACTTTCTTTTTTTTTTTGAAACAGAGCCTCAAGCTGTCACCCTGGGTAGACTACCACATCATCACAGCTCACAGCAATCTCCAACTCCTGGGCTTAAGCGAGTCTCCTGCCTCCACCTTCCAAGTTGCTGGGACCACAGGCGCCTGCCACAATGCCTGGCTATTTTTTTTCGGTTGCAGCCATCATTGTTGTTTGATAGGCCTGGGCTTCGAACCCACTACCTTAAGTGTATGTGGCTGGCACCTTAGCCACCTGAGCCACAGGCACCGAGCCTATACTTTCATCATGAAAACTGATTTAGAAACATCTTAAAGTTCCCAAGATAACCGAAAATGTTCTTCTGCTATTAAATTCTGAAACTGTTGTCTATGTACATAAAGCCATCTTTGTAGGACCCTAGAGGAACCTGGCTAGTAAAATGATACACAAGACCTGCCTGCAGATTGAGCAAGATTTAAACCAAGGAGACTGCTGGACTGGGAAAAGATCTCTAATGACAGAGAAATGTCACTTCCTGTAGAGCCACAGTTCAGCCTTAATTAACTCTGGTACTCCAGATGTTCTCCATTCATCCTGTACTCTATTTAACCACTCCCTTTTCCCCAGGCACTGGAGGGCTATCAGTGGCAGCAGCCATAGTAACTTCTCCTACCTCTAGGCCACTGAAATGCCAGCCTCCTTCTAGTTTTCTCCAATGCATAATACCATCTATAAACATTTCATGAAGTTATAGAAAAGCTCGTAATTTGCTAAAATCACAACACTTAGAATCTTGTGGCATCAGAGTAACATTCAGGGTAAAAAAAATAAATACTTTCAGTTAACCATGTGGCAGGCAAGGTGGGCCACAGGGTGAAACCCTCTACCTTGGGAGCCCCCTCTCCCCACTTGTCTTTCTGTTCTACCTGAGGAAGCCAGAACAAGTCAATTTGTCTTACTCTCACCTAGACGACCATTTTCCAGCTTGGCTTCATGGGCCAACCTGAGCGATTCAGAAGTCATGGTGGGAGACCAACCAGAATCAAAAGCAGTGGCATCCTCCCCTCTGCTGTATTTGGGATCTTGCTGGAGGAGAATAGCTTGATGAAGAGCTGAGATCCATTAAAGCAGAAGGTCATCTAGGAAACTCACCAACCTTCTAAAAGGCATGCATGAGTGAAATGGAGGGGTTAATTGGGACAGACTTGTTAAATTAAACCACAGGAAAGCAACTCAGTCTGTTGGAGGGCACTGAGCAACTGTGTGAGGATAGTAGGAGGCTTTAGAGTCACTTTTCAGACCTATTTTAGGATGAACATCCTTAACAAGATGGTTATTAGGGTCTGAGACAAGTTGTCTCAATCTGTGGACTTTTCCTTGTTCATGGCAGTTCAAGTTAAGAATTTTCTTTGCTGAAACTACTTTTGATTATTAAACCACAACACATCATCTAAACTAGAAATAAAATTTAACTAAAAAAGGAAAAAGAAGCTAATCCACTACATTAATTTAGACAATGCTGTCCATGATTAATAGAGCTATAAGGTGTTTTAACATATGTTTAAATTTATA